AATTTTTTATTTATTGTAGAGATGAGGTCTCACCAAGTTGCCCAGGCGGGTCTCGAACCCATGGGCTCAGGCAATCCACTCACCTCAGCCTTCCGAAGTGCGGGATTACAGGCTGAGCTACCAAGCCCGGCTGGAAAAGAAGTTTTGATAATGAGGAAAAAGGAGGAGAAACAGATTTAGAGCATGGGGCACCATGAGGTGGATTTTCAGAGTTTTTTGTTTGTTTTTGGACAGTGTTTTGTTTTCAGTTGTTGGAAGAGAATGGCATTAGGGATCCAGGTTTTTAAAGATGACAGAAGAGGCAAGAGCAGGTAGAAGGGATGAAAAACTCCTTTGTAATATCACTGGGGGCTGAGGCTGTACTTCCTCCTAAAGGCCTGGCACTGTTGTCATTCAACTGGACTCATTCCTGCTTCCTGAAATGCCCTGAGTGACAATGGGGAGAATGATATCCTAATGAATAAGCTCTGTGACAACTCACAGAAAAATCAAAAGGGAGATATTTTATCAGGAAATGGCCTAACAGAAGGCAAGAACAGACTATGCCTATGTGCCTTAGTAACAATTAAGTTAATAAATACAACAGTTACAACAAAATACATTTTTTATTTGTCTTATAAAATGATGCATAATTATTTCTTCTTTGCTCAAGTCAGGCAGTCTGAGCTGTTTCCTGGTTTAGAGTCATATCAGTCAAACCTAGCACACTTTCTGATTTTATGCCTGCTGTATTAGTCAGGGTTCTCCAGAGAAACAGAATAGGATCTCTTTCTCTCTCTCTCAAAAGAGATTTATTATAAAGTATTCACTCATGTGATTATGGAGGCTGGTCTGCCTCTGAAAGTTGGAAACCCAGAAAATTGATGGTGTAGATCAAAGGCCTGAAAGCAGAGAGCTGATGGTGTAGATTCCATTTCGAGCATGAAGGTCTGAGAACCAGGAGTGCAGAGGGCAGAATATCCACATCCCAGCTCAAGCAGTCAGGCAGAGAGTGATTCCAATCTTCCTCCGCCATTTTGTTCTACTCAGGCCCTGAATGGATGGGATGATGCCCACCCACACTTGATCCATATTTGCTTTCCTCAGTTCACCAATTCAAATGCTAAGCCTCACAGACAGCCTCAGATACAGTGTTTAACTAGGCATCTGGGAATCCTGTGTCCTAGTCAAGCTGACACATGAAATTAACTATCACATCTACATAACAGGAAGTAATGGCAATCAATGTACAAGTAATTATGTGAACCAGGTTAGATTCATCTTACCATGGACAACAACCTATTGATGGCCACTGCCCGCTGCTGTGCTTCTATATGAGGCATTTCATTCTGAATTACTTGGTCTGTGATTCCATGAGGGAACTGGTGACATAATTCTATGATCCTAGAAACAAAGGTATTAATGTTATTCTTCATGTTTAACTGTCTCAAGAAGCAGTATGGGAAAAATACAAAGAACAGTTTGAAACTGTGCCCTTTTCACATTTGGCAGACTATCTGGGTTTCTATGATGGTTCTGGATCAATGCATGTTGGAAACTGAGAAAGATGATTTCTAAATACACGTTTATGCTATTATTATTTAAGGGGAATATTTCTTTTCCTAATATGAACTTTAAATTAGCACAAAACACAGGAATACTTTACATTAGTGAAAACACAAGAAAAATAGTAAAGCTAAAAGACTTCCATGTTCTCAGATGGAAAAAGGATCACAAAGTTGGCCTTAAGTCTGTAAGCAGGAGGCCAATGCTGACACTTTTGGTGGGAAGTGAAATGTGTTCACAACGGGAATTATCTCTATCAAACAAAAGCCCAAATCTTCACCCTGACAGTAGGCCCAATATATGTGTTACTTGTAACAGTTTGAGATAGCTGGGGTCTCTTAAAACTATGTGATAACCTAAGAATCGCAGCGCCCTGGAAGCGAATATAAAATTGGGAGAGGCTTTAGATGTCCTAGAAGCTTTGAGTTCAATTCTTCACTGAATCCTCTGGCTTAACGCGCTTCCTAATCACAAACTGCACCCTAACGCCGCCCGAACGTTTTGTCGTGGAGGTTTCCTTAGTGACAAGGGCCATCCTGGATCGGAATACGTATCCACAAGCACTACGGGGAAAAAAACCGTAGGACTCTTCTCGAGGCACTGATCACCTCAATGCAGGAAGCAGAAGCATCATCACAACTTCCCCAAAAGCACCAAGGCATAGCCAGCTACAGAGTTGCAAGCCGTTAAACCCGTTGTGAACTCGTAAAGAGCTCTGCTCTCTGAAGGCGGGAGGGGAGGAGGAAGAGTCCAGAACCCCGCCATCACTTTCATGCGTGCTCACCCAACCGGATCCGGCCTCTCCCGAGGGGAGCTCCGGGAGAAAGGGTCCGGCTGTCCCAGTAACTGGCCGCCTGCGGGGAGTCCCGAGCTTCACTGGTTACCTGTTTTCTATTTCAACTGGATCTGCGTCGGGCAACTGCACCTTCACCTTCACCTCAGCCATGAGCGCAGTTTCCGACTCCGGTGGGAAGAGATGTACGCAGTGGGGGAAAGCAAGCCAGGAAACTCGGAAAATCACTGGATGATAGCACAAGCCTGGGGCCTTCTTCCTTGCGTCGTAGTGGGTCCTTCCTTGTCGGTCGGCTTGAAGTGGCCAAGGCACGCCTGCTTCTGCCGACTGGCCGGCTCCGCTACAACTTTTTATTCTTGTTTTCTAGAATGCCAATACCCATCAGACGAGGGAGGCTGGTTCTCTCATTCTAAGTTGAGACTCCAATTATGAGCATTTTGCAATCTCTGTGAAGGCATATTCTTGGAGGCCTACGGTAAGCCTTGGGAAAGGAGCGCCAGGAGTTACGGGCGGGACTGGTTGCTAGGAAGCTGAATTTCCACCAATCATCTGCTAGATGTCAGTGGGCGGGCAAGACTCGCAGCGTCTTTGGTAACCTGGGCGGCGGCGGAGAGGCAAGAGGCGGTGAGAGGCCGCGACCGGGTTGGGGGCGGCAGAGGTGTCTCGGGGGTCCTGATCCCGGTCCCCGCAGCTGGAGGAGAAGGAAGGACTCCCTCACTCTAGCCGAAAGGATTCAGATGTCCCTGCTGGCCCCCGCTGAGCCAGGGACGAGGGCCAGACGGGGTTCCGATCCGGGTGGCGGGGGAGGGGTCTAAGTAGAGGGATTTGGGCTTTGGGAGTGCTGTTGACTACACGCTGCTGTTCGGACCTAGCGGACCGACCTTCTTCTCGATCCCCGTTGCATGGGTCACATTGACCGCCTCAGCTTCCCAAGGGCAGCTATCAGTTGCCACTCGAGAATTTCTCCATCTCCGACATCTTTTTTTTTTTTGAGTCGGAATCTCACTCTGTTGCCCAGGCTGGAGGGCAGTGGCACACTCTCGGCCACCGCAGCCTCGACCTGCTTCAGGCAATCCTTCCGCTCCCCCTTACAAGTAGCTGGAATTACAGGCGCGCGCCACCACACCGAGCTATTTTTTTTTTAATTTATTGTAGAGACGAAGTCTCACCATTTTGTCCAGGCTGATCTCGAACCCGTGGGCTCAGTCAGTCCCCTCGCCTCCGCCTCCCAAAGTGCTGGGATTACAGGTGTGAACCACCACGCCAGGCTTCTGACATATTTTTATTTATAATTAATTTTTCCACTATTTGTATTTTAACTGCCTCTCACTTGAATGGAAATGCGACTGTAACCAGGTCCCCTTAAGTCCAGCCATACTTCTGTAGGGGCCATTGCTGTGCTGTCAGGATCTGCAGTTTATGTTCTTGGCCGTCGATCTGGAACCATCCAATAAGGCATTACGTTTGCCTCTTAAATATATTTGTCCCACTTTTGGGAGTACAGTCTGTGACAAAACTCAAACTACAGAGATGTTCAGAGCAGCATTATTAGAACTGCAACAGCCAACACTAAAAAGAAACTATTAATAGCCTAAATGCCCAGCCACAAATTGACAAATAAGATTATGTGAATACACGGAAAACCCTACGGTAAAAAAGTAAAAGTGCAAGAAGTAGACTAAATGAATGCATATGTAGATTATAGTTGAATAAAACCTGTGTGTCCATAATCATTATAATTTGGAAAGGCAATACAGAGATGAAATGATTGTTGTATAAGGTGAGGATTGGTTTTTTTCCTTGAAACCTTTGCATTAAAAATTATGACAACCTTCCCCGCAAACCTTCAAAAGGACCAGTAAGGCCTTCATACTGGTAGTTAATTACTAGGATTTATGAATACAGCAGATGTAGTGGAAGACTTGTGCTTGTTGGTCACTGCTTATATTTGTGTCAACTTCTTTCCACCAAGAAGTGGTTCTCTGCAGTCATTCTAAAGCATCTTTACAGCTTTCAAATGAGAAACACAGGGGTGACAGTTGCAGGGCCATAAACCTGGAATTTTCCCAAGGAGTTGGCTCTAAGTTAACATTTTGTGGTACATGCAGAGTTATCTTTATTCCACTTGCATAATGACTTTCCCTGAAGTCAAGAGAGGTGGCACACTAATCAGAGGCAGGAAAGGGTGGTCGTGATCCAGAGGAAACTCAGGTCAGAGCATTAGTGATGGTCTCTGTTCTGCTTTACTCACTGAATTTGCCCTTTTAAAGTAATTCCTTTCCCTCATCTCATTCTTTCATGCTCCTTTCTGATGTAAGTATTTAGATAGTCAAAACTCCACACAAGACTTCAACAGCAAAAATACAGCTGAAATGTAATAATTATTTCAATTTAAAATTGGATACTGTTTGTAGTGGTGTATTAACAATTTTCCTTCATTTTTACTACTTTTGCTGCATTTAAATGAGGTGCTGCTCTTTAGCTTTTGTGTTTATATATAGGTGCACGTTGGAATTTATTTGTATATATATTTTTTGATATACGGAGAGAAAAATGACTGCTGGTTCAGTGTGTGTCCCTCAGATCATACCACTGCGAGTGCCTCTGCCTGGAAAAGCTAGCCATGAAATTGATAACAATACACTTTTGGAAATGAAATCGGGTAGGAGTCACATGTATTTGAAATTGTTTAAAATAACATTGTCATGTTCCTTGTGTTCATCTGGTTGCTCATTTATCTCTGCATAATTTCTAACTCAGGACTTTGGAAAGTTTGTAAACTTTCAAAATTGAAACAGTGTTGCACTTTGAAGGTTTCTAGGGTGGTGTATATTCAGTTACTTCGTCTATAAAATGAATATAGAATAGGACCTACCTCATAGGATTGTATGGATACGATGAGCTCATTTAGATTAAAACAGTTATCTCTGGCCAGCCTTTCATTTACATAGGTTCATAGTTGCAGCAATGCTTTAGTTCACCTTTGCCAAGCTGGGATGTCTTAGTGCTTCCTCAAACTTCTCCAAGATGCTCATTATTTAACTGGAATAATAAATTTGACCTACTAACATAGGCTTTCCTATCGGATAGGTAAGAGGTTGAATCCTGGCTTTGACAACTTCTAGTGACCTTGGGCATATTACTCTTAGCCTTTCTGCATCTCATGTACTTATTATAAGGCAGGAATAATAACATCTACCACGTAGAGCCATTGTAAGTTTTACATGGGCTGGTGTATATGTGAGGTGCATAGGGCTTGACTTTTTGATTCCTGAATTATGCTTGTGTCGATTTCCTGTTGGAGAGAAAAAAGCATAGTAGTCCAAGAACATGAACTATGAACCCAACCTAGCTGAAGTCAAACCAAGTTTCTTAATACCTCTGGGACTCGGTTACCTCATCTATAAAATGGGTATAAAATAGGACCTATCTCATAGTGTTGTACAGGTACAATAAGCTCATTCATGTAAATCAAGTGCTGGCTCAAAGAGAGAACCAAATTATTGTTAGTTATCACTACTCATTTCTACAATATATGTAAAATCTCCTTAAATAACTGACCTATAGTCATTATTCAGGGAATTTCTACTTTTGTGTTAATTACAGTTATCGTGTTTTGGGTTTTTCAGACACCCCAGATGTCAATATATATTATACCCTGGATGGCAGCAAACCTGAATTTCTAAAGAGAATTGGTCATGGTGAAAATAATACATTTAAGTATATAAAGCCTATTACTCTGCCTGATGGAAAAATACAAGTTAAAGCTATTGCAGTCTCTAAGTAAGTTAAGAGCACAGTGACTAAACTCATTTATAATATAATAACATTGTGTTCTAATTTTATATATTTCTTCCTATGAGAATCAGTGCTGCATGAGAAGGTCACGAAAAGTTATTTTAATTTCAGAGTCTGTATGTAATATTTGTTTTTTCCTTGCCTTTTATTGAGGTATACTGTAAAGTGCAAAAGTCATAAGAGTCATAAGCTCAGTGAAGTGTCATGGACATTAATTATGTTTCTATTTTGAATTCCATACTGAGGTTTTGGGAAGGAAGAGCCTTTCCAGGGCTGGGGGCCTCCTAAGAGCTTCATCTGCCTCTGAAGAAAACACTGTGTTTAGTGGATGGCCTTTTAATTCTCCAGGGTGCAGCCTGCAGCCACCATAATCATTCTCTATTTCATTATGTATTGATTTAATTGGCCTCCAAAACCACTGTCATTTCAACTTGTTTGACATTGAATACCTTATTTTTCTCTGTCCTTTTTTCCCACTCAGTGACTTTTCCCCGTTTTCAAATATAGAAACACCACTTAACTTGGCAGCCTTCACCGTGTGTTATAGAGAAAAAGACTTGAACACTTAGCAAGCCTGTGGGGCTTGTCCAGCAAAACAGGTTTGACCACATTTTAGGAACATTTTTAAGCTCCAAACCAAATGCAGTACCTGGCTAGCCAAGGTACCTTAAAAAGACTCTCCAGGCTCCCCCTGCCGGCTGAACTGCTCATGGCTTTCTGAGGAAAGCTACAACTTCAGCACCAAAGATGACTTTTGTCATCTGAAAATTAAAACAAAAATAAAGTAAAATGAAACGAAACAACCTCTTTAAACACATTATTATTATTTATTAAACATTGAAGTGTGTGGACTTTTCTCACCTGTCAAACCTTTTCTGTAAAAACAAGTAATCTCAGTTATTTAAAAAATTAATTCTCTGGTGCCTATCTTTGTTTTTCTTTTTCTTTTGTTGTTGTTGTTTTTGTTTGTTTGTTTGTTTGTTTTTGAGTCAGAATCTCACTCTGTTGCCCAGGCTGGAGTGCAGTGACATGGTCATGATTACTGCAGCCTTGACCTCCTGGGCGTTCCTTCCACCTCAGCCATCCAAGTAGCTGGAACTACAGGTGTGCACCACCATGCCCAGCTAATTTTTATTTATTGTAGAGATGAGGTCTCACCAAGTCACCCAGGCTGGTCTCAAACCCATGGACTCAGGCAATCCTCTTGCCTCTGCCTCCCAAAGTGTTGAGATTATAGGCGTGAGCCACCACACTCAGGGGACAGCTTCTTTAGAAGGTACAAGTAGTAGTAAAATGAAGTAATTTGATGACTAACTTTGTAGTTTGAAGGAGTTAATGAAGTTTTCGAAAGAATCTGAAAAATAAGGTCATTCTTTATGCCTCTCACCATCCTGTGTATCTATTCTGTTTATTCTGGAAAGTACTGTTAGCATTTCAAATGTGCTCAGCTCAGGGAAAGTATACCAAAAAATTTAAAAATTTTTTGAGTTTTCAACCCAAACAGGTTATTGCTTGTATAGATTTATGATAAAATCTTTTTTTTACGGAAATTGTACTATTTACTGTTTCATGAAAGTCTGTTTCTAAGAACTTAAGGTAATGAGTTTCCTTCTTTTTTCTTTTCTTTCTTTTTTTTTTTGAGTTGGAGTCTCATTGTTGCCCAGGCTGGAATGCAGTGGCACACTCATGGCCACTGCAGCCTCAACCTGTTTAGACAGTCCTTCTGCCTTGGCCTTCCAGGTAGTTGGAACTACAGGCACGTGCCACCATGCCCAGCTAATTTTTTGATTTATTGTAGAGATGAGGTCTCACCACATTGCCCAGGCTGCTATTGAACCTTGGGCTCAGGCCTCTCACCTCTTCCTCCCAAAGTGCTGGAATTACAAGCATGAGCCACCGCGCCTGGCTGGTAATTAGTTTCTTATTAAAGGACAGGGAGTTTTACATGAGGCTGTTAACAGTGGACACTCATAAATATATTAAAAGGAAAATTATGGTCATGAAGGTTTGAATGACATAGAAAAAAGTTTGTAATATAATTGAAAAAATTAGGATGCAAACTTATACTATATTATTTTAACTATGTTTTAAAAATGCATCAAGAAAAGACTAGAAGAAAACATGCCAAAGTTTAGCCTTCATTGCCTCTGGTGATACAATCATGCCTGTTTGCTTTTTTTCTTATAGATAATTTTTAGTTTCCAAAATTTAACAATGAGAATTACTTCTGTAATAAGAAATAGGGCCGTGGGAACCAATGGGTTTAAGACCAACCTGGGAAACTTGGGAAGACCTCATCTCTACAATAAATCAAGAAAAATTATCTGGGCATGATGGCACATGCCTTAGAGTTCCAACTACTTTGAAGGCTGAGGCAGAAGGATCGCCTGAGCCCAACAGTTCGAGGCTACGATGGCCATGAGTATGTCACTGCACTCTAGCATGGGTGACAGTGAGACTCTGACTCGAAAAAAAAAGAAAAGAAAAGAAAGAAAGGAGTAAATCACAAAGTAAAGGATGTCTGAGGTTATAATATAACCAGTGCTTCTCAACCTTACCTGCTAAATCAGTCAACAATTGCTCTAAAACTCACCACAGCCTAAACCTCCTGGGCTCAGACAATCCTTCCACCTCAGCCTCCTGAGTGGCTGGGACAACAGGCATATGCCACCACACCTTGCTAATTTTTTTTATTTTTTTGTAGGGATGGCATTTCACTACATTGCACAGGCTGGTCTTGAATTTCTGGGCTCAAGCAATCCTCCCACCTCAGCCTCCCAAAGTGCTGGGATTACAGGCATGAGCCGTTGTGCCCAGCTGTAGTCATTTTTTGCCTCTTGAGCTGGATGGTCAAAGCTTGACTCCCATGTCTCGTGGTTGGTTCTGGCTGTTGGCTGAGCCCTGTGTCTCCAGCCTGAGTTTTTTTATGTGGCATCTTAGTTCTGATAGCAGTAAGAGAAAGGCCAGGTCCCAACACCCAGATGCTTTTCTAGTCTCTGCTTGTGTCATGTGCTAACATTTCATTGGCTAGAGCAAGTCACATGGCCTCACCCAAAATCAGTGTGGGAGGGGCTTCTACAAGGGCACGAATACAGAAAGGCATGTTGTACCAGGGCCCATTAGTGTACCAATCCATCAGGTGCACGTTAGAATCACCCAGGGAACTTTGCAGAGTCCCCATACCCAGGTCACACCCCAGACCAATTACATAACAGTCTCTTAGGGTGGAAGCCAGGTATCAGTATTTTTAAAGTTTCCAGGGGATCCCAATATGCAGCCAAGATCAACAACAACTAACATAAACCAATGGAAAAAATATGCTTCCATTGATAGAAATTTGACAGCTTTTTGGAAAGATATTTTTACAAAAGCATGATAGTCTAGGATAAAAGAGTAAGAATAAAGACATCGTCATCTGTCCTTCTGAACCATGAGCTGGGAGGTGGGAGCTCTGCAGGAATCTGGTCACCAGTTTTGATTACCATTTCTCAACCTTCTAAGGTCACAAGGCCCTTCTAAATAATTTAAGTTATTGCCAAACTAGATTTGGGCTTTTCTTAGAACTTCATGTCTGTCTTTTGGGTAACTCCCTGTTGTTTCTGTGATTTACTGCACTGGTAGGTCCACATTCCAGCCCACAGGGAGCTCTGGTCTGTGTGCCTAGTCAGTCGGTCAAAGGTCATGTACCAATAAGAAAGCTGTCTGAACACTTACCCTATTTTAATTTAGATCTGCCTACAAGAAACTTATCTATGTCTAACTTGCTCTGAGTAACCTACCTCACAGTGTCCTAAGTGGCAAGGAAGAAACTTGATGCTATGCCCCTGTCACCATGATACCCTAGACTGCTTACGCCTTATTACTTCTGTCTTGTTTAAACCACTATTGTTTTGGTTCTGTGTTACAACAGCCAAGCATATATCTTTTTTTTTTTTTGATAGAATCTCACTCTGTGGCCCAGGCTACTGCAGCTCACTGCAGCCTCAAACTCTTGGGCTCAAGCAATCCTCCCACTTCAACCTGGGACTACAGACATGCACCACCACACCTGGCCACTTTTTCTTATTTTATAGAGATGGGATCTCATTATGTTGAGGTAGGAGGATTGCTTGAGGCCAGGCTGGTCTCAAGCTTCTGGCCTCAAGCAATCCTCCCACCTCAGCCTCCCCATGTGCTGGGATTACAGATGTAAATCACTGTGTCCAACCCTATATCTTGTTACTTGAGGACATATATCAAGCAAATACAGAGGACATGATCAAAAGTACAGGGCATCATCAAGGCTGACAGTGTCAAGTGTCAGCGAGTATGTGAAGAAACTGGAACCTTCAGCTAATGCTGGTAAGAATGTAAAATGGAACAGCCACAGTTTGGCAGTTTGTAGAAAGTTAAGCATATGCTTACCATATGACCCAGCAGTTCCGCTCCTGGGTATCTACCCAAGAGCAATGAAAACATGTCCACACAAAGAACATGTGAAGGTTCATAGCAGCATTATTCAATAGCCCCAACCAGAAATAATCTAAATGACTATCAACTAGAGACTGGACAAACACATTGTGGTGTATACATAAAACAGAATACTACTCAACAATAAAAATAAATGCATTGCAATAACATGAATGAACTTCAAAAACAATAAGTGAAAGAAGTCAGTAAAATGATGACATATGTATGATTACATTTATGCTACATAAGGACAAAACTATAGAGAAGACAAACTATAGAGATAAGCAGATTACTGGATGCCTGAGATGGAGGTAGTAGCAAGGAGTGACTGCACCTAGGCACAAGGGAATTCTGGGTGATGGATGTCGTCTAAAATGGATTGTGGTGATAATTGTACAATTTTTTTTTTTTTTGAGTTGGAGTCTCACTCTGTCGCCCAGACTGGAGTGCAGTGGCTGCTCCCCGCCCCCCCCGCCCCGACCCGCTGGGGTCCG